GTGCCCCCCAGTCAGTGCTGCCCCCCTCCCCACACCCGCTCCCCTGCAGGCTGCAGTGACAAAGGACCATTTGCCCCAGGGTGAGAGGCAGGAGCTGCCCCAGAGCAGCTCCCAGGGCCAAGGGGAGGTGCAGCTGGGGGGCAGTTCTCAGCCTCTGGCAGGGGCAGCAAGAGATGGATCTGGCTGGGTCAGAGAGGAGGAGCCTTCTGGTTCCCTGCACATCTCCAGTACAAAGGGTCCAATTTTAAACCTAATTAATGTTTTCACAAAGCTCACCCCTTCTGCCTGCTTGGCTCAGGGCTTTATCCAGCTGCAGAGTGAAAGGGCTGGCAGAGGGGAGATGGAGGTTGGACATGAGGAGGAAATTCTTTGCTGTGAGGGTGGTGAGAGCCTGGCCTAGGTTGCCCAGGGAAGCTGTGGCTGCCCTATCCCTGGCAGTGTTGAAGGGCAGGTTGGATGGGGCTTGGAGCAGCCTGGGCTGCTGGGAGGTGTCCCTGCCCATGCAGGGGGTTGGATCTGGGTGATCTTTAAGGTCCCTTCCAACCCAAACCATTCCACAATTCTGGTTTTACAACACATCTTGTGTTCACATCACCAATGTGTCAGGTGTTTCTTGCTCCCTCTTTCACTTGCTGTTCCTCATGCTTGGGCTTAATGTAGGCCCAGTCTCAATTGATTTGCATTTTGAAAAATGTTATAATTATGATTGTTGCAACCACTGATGTGAAACTGCTCCTGAGGGAGAGCTGAGCTCTGATTCCTCTTGCAGGCTTACGACATGTTTCAGATGACATGAAGACCCACAAGAATCCAGCACTGAAGAACCAAGGGGGTCCTGTGAGAAGTGGACCCAAACCTTTCACTGCTCCCAAACCAGCCTGTAATGCTAATCCCTCCCAAAAAACCTCTCCAAAGGCACCTGCATTGCTAGAATTAGAGGGCAAGAAATGGAGAGTGGTGAGTGCCTGGTGTGGTCACCAGTGGGTTGGAGGGGTGGGAGTTTTGCTGCAGGGAAGGGGGTATCTCCTGGAGACCTTTCTCCTAAGAGGCACCAGCCTGAAGACACACACAGTTTGCCTTTAAAGGGGCTGCACTGCCCTGCTGTTCACGTGGATGAACTGGTCTACATTCCAAAAATAAAATGTGTTTTCCCTGCCTTTTCAGGAAAACCAGGAGAATGCCACTGACCTGGTAATCAGTGACACAGAGTTGAAGCAGGTAGCATATGTCTTCAAGTGCACAAATAGCACACTCCAAATCAAGGGCAAGATCAACTCCATCACCCTCGGTAAGTGAAGAAACCCTGAGAACTGCTCCTGTGCACGGGGCTGTTTGCAGGAGGCTGGATCTCCCAAAACCTGACCTGTTCTTTTCTCCCTGCAGATAACTGTAAGAAGCTGGGGCTGGTGTTTGATGACGTGGTGGGCATCGTAGAGATCATCAACAGCAGGGATGTTAAAGTTCAGGTGAGTGTGCAACCTGGAGTGTGACTCGTGTGCTGTACAACAGGGCACCTGCAGCTGCTGAGTAGTTTTATTTCCAGAACAGGAATCTGCTGTGGGAGGTGTCCCTGCCCATGCAGGGGGTTGGAACTAGATGATCTTTAAGGTCCCTTCCAACTCAAACCATTCTGTGAAACACTACCTGTCCCACTGCTCTGCAGCTCACCCTGCCCAGCCCTTAGCAAAGGGCTGGAATTTGCCTCTCTGAGCTGCTTGAGGGCTCTGGAGAACAGATGAGTCTCAGTGAGGCAGGGCACCACGACTGCCAAAGCAGGAGACCAGCAGTGGCACCTGCTCTGTTTGCAGTGTTGGTGTCTGACTTGGGGTGGTCAGTTTGCCCAACATTCCCTGTTGTTCCAAGGAGATTAAAACAACAAATAACTGCAGATTTTTTTGCCAAAAGGTGGGAGCACTTGAAATGCAGGTTGTCTGGGATGGAGGGGTTGGAGTCAAACACAAAAGAAAAGTGTTGTGGTTGCCCAGTTCCAAGGAAATGCTCCTCTAACCTTTGCCTTGACCACCCTGCCAGGTATTGGGTAAAGTGCCAACGATTTCCATCAACAAGACAGATGGTTGCCATGTGTACCTGAGCAAGAACTCTCTAGACTGTGAGATTGTCAGTGCCAAGTCCTCAGAGATGAATGTCCTTATTCCCACAGAGGGAGGTGACTTTGTAAGTGCTGTTTTGATGTCCCTGTGGTCTTCTTGGAGGGGGAGAGGGGGTGTGAAGGGCAGGATTTGTATTCTGAGCCCTGCAGGGAATGTCATGGTAGCAGTGAGGTCTGCAGGGACAGTTCTAGGCCCTGGGCTTGGTTATGAATGATGATCAGATGCTAAAAACCAGCAAATCAAGTTGGTTTGTCTTTGCAGTGAGATGTTTGCTGCTTTGTCAGAGTTTTTTCTTCCTCAGGAGCTCCTGGGGGCAGAACAGGCAGCGTTTGTGGTACAGGAGGGGATATCACAGAAAGAATTGCCTAAGGCAGTGGGAGTTGTTATTAGTCTCACTCATAAACTGCTTTTGGACAACAGATTTCTACTCTTTC